AAGCTATTCCTAGATGGGTGTGGTGGTACATGCCTGTAATCCCAGCACTCAGGAAGTTAGAGCAGGCAGATCATGAGCCAGCTTAGGCTCCACGTGAGACCCAGTCTCAATAACCAAAGTAGTGGGGGGGGGGGGGACAGGGAGAGGAAGGAGCAAGGAAGACAAGGAAGGAAAAGGGAAGGGGTAGGGGCACTGCCTGCCCTGCCCCACTGCAGCACAGCCTTGCATGGACCCAGTCCTGTGCCTTCCCAAGCTAAAGGGACACCACCGCGTCCCCAGGAGTGCCCTGCCCCTTTCACTGGGGCCCTGGCCCGGCTGCCATGTGAGCCTCTTCTTCAGGGGAGACTCCCCAATGCTAGCCAGTCTGCATTCCCTGAAACCCAGGACAAAGCAGGAGTCAGGGCACCTTGAGGATTTCTTCAACTCCAACTTCACGAAGCAGGAAAAGGACAGCTGACTGGAGCAGAGCTCAGAAATCCAGGAGCCGAGGCTGAGGCCCTGCCTTCAAACCAGAGTTGGGGGAGTGGGGAGGACAGTGCCCATCCCTGCAGCCTGCCACCGGCCACTGACCCTGGGAACCCAGGAGGCAGACCCCGCCCCACCTCACCAAGACTTTGGTTAGTGGGTATGTGATGGGCTCAGGACCAGGATATGTGCCTGAGCGGCTCAGGCACAGCCCAGCCCCTGCTCCAACCCCAGGGAAAGGGGACCACACATCCTCCAGCCCTCCCCCCCAGCGCCCCAGCTCAGTCCCTCTTGGCACCACCCAGCTCTGGCGTCTGCTTCTGATTCTAAACGTTCTGGGAAGAATCGCTCTCTTGGCATCAAATCAGATTGGCTCCCTGGCTCACAGTTCAAGTTCAAATTCAAGTACAGCTCCCACTTTCTGAGCATCCCGGCCTTCCTCCAATCCACTCCAGAGACGAGCACTGTTAGACTGGCCTCCCTGCAGAGGAGGAAAATGAAGCAGAGAGGCAAAGTACTTTTCGAAGATTGCACAGCCTGACTGTGGCTTGCCATTATCAACAAGGTCATTCAGAGCAGCTGCCACACAACTGAAAATTACCGCTCTGACCCCTGGGTCTGCGGTGCTGCGTTTCTGAATCAGAAAATCTTTTCGCAAGCCAAATGCCAGTGCTCATGCCTGTAGTCCTAATTACTCAGGAGGTTGAGATCTGAGGATTGAGGTTTGAAGCCCCTTCAGGGAAAAAAAAAAGTCCATGATACTCTTATCTCCGATTAACCAGCAAAAAGCTGGAAATGGAGGTGTGGTTCAAGTAGTAAAGCACTAGCCTTGAGGGAGTTCATGCCCCAACACTGGCACAAAAACCAAGTCTTTGCAAGCTCCCAGCCCCAGAGCCGCCTCCCCTGGCCTATCTGCATTTGTGTCCCCACTGAGCTCAGTCCGCCACGCTGGGGATGTGGGACCAAGCGGACACGCCTGTGCATCCACTGAACTCCTCCTTCACGCACCCCTGCCTTCACCCCAGGACGACACTGGCCTTTGATCCTCAATCTTCAGGACACTCATTCCTCGGAAGACCAGCGCGTGCCTGCATGAGGCCTCTGCCCACCAGGACCTCGGAGCCACGCTGCCAGCTGTGCCCGGCCAGGACCTACGGTTTCTTCCTTCCATCCCCCTGACGCCTCCGGGCCCCATCGCGCTGCACATGCGCTGGCCCGGGGTACACGGCCCCCAAGCAGGCTTTTCGCCAGCGCACTCAGCTTCTCCAGCTGAGTCTTTGTAGAAGAGTTTCTCAGGTTGGGGGGCAGGGACGGGTGGTCCCCGGGCAGCTGAGTCCCTGGCCACCCAGGGAGCTGTGTGATCAGCCCTACAGCTCTCCCGGGGACAGGGACAGCTTCTCTCCACATGTGTCAGTGCAGTCACATCAGACGGCAGAGCCTCCAGGGCTGGAGCCATCCCAGCCTGTAGTACCACCTCCTCTGGGAAGTCCTCCACCCTGGCTTGCACAGCAGAGCCCTGGATTCCCAGATCCCAGGCAGCTCCTCTGTGCTGCTCACTACATAGTCCTCCTCTCCCTTCCCCCTCCTCCTACCTCCTTCTTCCCTCCCCCCCCCCAACCCCTGCCAAACCAGCTGCCCCTCTCCCAGGACTCCCCAGACAAGAGTTTGCATTTGCAGAAAGAACAATATGCCCTTAAAGGGCTCAGCAGCGGGCACCAGTCCCCAGGGCTCAGAGGGTCCGGCTGTGGGAGCCCAGGAAGCAGAGAGGATGGAGGGCTGCGTGTCAGGCTGGAGTCTGGAAAGGAGACCAGCCCGCTCCATCCCTGGGGAGGGAAGTGACTGTGATTTCAGACTTCCCGAGAGGCCGCCCAGCTCTAACAGAGACTGTGCAGTGCGAGTGTGGATGGCACGCAAGGTAAGGCAGACTGTGCACCTGCTCCCGACAACACACGGGGCCCTCCCATCTCCCACACAAGGGCAGGCCGGGGGTCTCGCAGGCGAGGCCCTGGCCGCCATCCATCTCTGGAGGACAGAGGAAGAGCTTGGGTAAGCTCTTCAGGGACCCCCCAGGCTTCTCCAGCTGTGTGCCTCCCGTGAGCCCCCCGGGCCAAGCCTCTGGATCCTACCAGGGCTCATATCTTATTTTGCACACATCACATGGAATCTGTTAACAAAAGTTGCCTGCAGGAGTTGCTGGAACTTTTGGGTATCTGTCAGGCACCCCTGCATGATACAATTTTTGGGGTGTCCTAACCACCTTCCACAAATGTCTACATACAGCCTGTTTCGGAATACTCAGACAATGGAGACGGAGGCTGTATGGCACACAGCCAGGGCCTCGGACTCCCAGAGCAGACATCACCAGCTGCTGACCCAACAACAGTACTCAGCCAGGCATCACCAATCAATGAGGCCAACTTCCCTGCTGGAATATTGACGGACACTGCCCAACTAAGGGTCCAGAATCCACCTACTCCAACAGGAAAGCGGCAGGAGGGTAAGAAAGCTAGCTGCAGCCAGTAGACCAAATACCCCCCTCCAGTGCAGTATATGGAACTGAGGATGGGGGAGCAGGCTGGGCATGACAGCAGGGACTCACTCCACCAAGTCAGGCCCAAGGCATCAGCAGACAGATCATCTCCCCATGGGAAGACTATCTTCTAGAACCTTCCATGGTGACCTCAGGTTGGTGACTTACCCTCAGGTTAGCTCATCTGTGACAGGAGGGGTAATCTAGCCTGGCCAGGTTGCTCTCCACAATCACTTCACATGTCGCTAGTGCTCCCTCAGCCTGCTGTGTCCAAACCCCGGAACAGCAGGATCCCTCATGGCGACCCCAAAGTCCCCGGACCAGGGCCTCCTAAGTGACTGCAGAGCTGTTCACTGGCTCATGGTGCTGTCCATCTTCCCACTCTCACCTAGCCCCTCACCTAGCGTGCGGGCCGGAACCAGGGACTATCTGCACAGTGGTCTGCAGGATGCCCAGGGCCTAGGAATGTGGGGTGCACAGCAGGTGCCTCCTGAACGCGTAAGAGGATGCATGCGTGAAAGATGAATGAATGATTCAATGCGTGTGCCCTCATCGGAAGCGCCAGTCCTACATGGTAGGGTTCCTACTTTAAGAGAACCAGGAAACTGGCATCATCCATGCTTCTAGTTCTCAAATGTTGGCTCATTTCCCTCTCCCTCCTTGGGAGAACAGCCCACTGTGAGGGGAGCTCTAACTGACACAGTAACAGCCTCTCTGATGAGCAGCCGAGTCTCCCTCCGTTTATGATATTCTGTTCAGCTGGACGCAGTGGTGCATACATGTAATCCTAGCTTCTCAGGTTAGAGAGGTAGAAGGATCACAAGTTCAGAGTCAACACAAACAAGACCCTATCACAAATGAGTGCTTTACAGCACTTTTACATGCCTGTAATCCCAGCTACTGGGGGAAGCAGAGATCCATGGTCAGGCCTAAGCAAAAAGCACAAGAACCTACCTGAAAAATAAACCAAGCAAAAAGGGGCCGGGGGGATGGCTCGAGTGGCAGAGTACTGCCTAGCAAGCAGGAAGCCTTCAGTTCAGTGGTGGCATCACCAAAAAGAAGCAAGTGCTAGGGGCTAAGGTAGAGGCGGAAGGTGGCTCCACACAGGAGGGAGGGTGCGTCCTCAGGCAGCTCCATTAGGGCCGTGGTCATGGCCCGCTTCCATGAGGGCATCACAAAGGCAGGGGACTCTGTGGGAGTGAGGGGCCAGGGTGGACATGAACGGCAAGTCTCAGTGGACAGGGGAGAATGTGCATGAAGAACAGGAGCAGCCCCACTGTGGCCCCCTGCTGCCACAGGGCTGCTGCGCACTTGGACGGACGGAGGAGAAAAAGGTTACAGACAAGGAGGGAGAGCCCCTCAGGGCCCCAGCACCCCAGCCCTGCCACCCTGGTCACCCCACCCCACTATCCTGCTCTATACTAAACAGAGCTTGTTTTGTGGTGGTTGTTTTGTGCCAGTACTGGAGCCTGAACTCAGGTCCTGGGTGCTTTTTTTGCTCTATCACTTGGGCCACAGCTCCACTTCTGGCTTTTTTGGTAGTTAACTGGAGATACAAGTCTTACAGACTTTCCTGCCTGGGCTGACTTCAAACAAAGATCCTCAGCTCTCAGCCTCCTGTGTAGATAGGATTATAAGTGTGAGCCACCAGCGCCCAGTCCTATAATAATATTCATAGTTTAGGGTTCACACCTCATGCATTACTGGGTGATTACTACTACATGACCAAGTCATTACATGGTTGTACAGCCAGGGGACCCAAGGCTCCAGCAGGGCTGATAATGTGGCTGAGACTGTCCACCCATCTGCCTGTCAGGCACCGAGCCCAGAGCTGACCACAAATCTCAGCCATCTACTGCCCAACTCCATCTGGTGCAGGGCTAACAATGCTCAGAGCTTTTGCTAAAGCGAGCAGACTATGGACACAGGCTGCCATGTCTCCGGAGGCACCCGAGCTGGTGGCGGGCGCCCCCAGGCCAGGCTGCCTCTCCGAGTCCTGCCTCACCTGCTTTACAGGTCCTGCCATTGTCCTGGAGCTGCACGCCCGTGGGGCAGGCGCACGTGTAGAATGGCTCCCGCGGGGACAGCAGGCACAAGTGGGAGCAGCCGCCATTGTCCTCCTCACACTGAGTGTGGACTGGAAAAAACAAGTGAGAGAGTAAGTTCCAGAACCAGGGCACCTGACCCCCACCCAGTCACCACCCACAGCCCAACCACTGCCCTGCCACACATTTCCAAGTGAAGTAGCATCCCACCTCCTCACCTGTCCCTGCCGACAACCCCCAGCCCGTCCACGGAGTCCCAGCCCCTCCCTCCTCACTGCCTACCATCGGCTGTGTTGGACCATTAGCTTCATCAGCTTGTCTTGTAACTTCTCCAAGTCCAACTGTGACCTTCCCAGTCACCATCCCAGCCCAGACATGCCCTGCCCTTGAAGCTTCCCCATGCTGAGCTCCTCCAGCAAGGAAAACCTGCCCCCAAGGGCACCTCCCCCGGAAGATGCCACCCTTGCTCCTTGGCAGGACCTGGGGACTTGCCCACATAACACTGATGGGGAGCCTACGGCAGTGGGCTCTTGAGCACAGGCCCGCCTTGTCTCCTCCGGTACCTGGATGCCACAGGCCCCGCCTCAGGAGCCTCAGGTGGGGTAGCCATGCTGGGCATTTCCCCAGGTGCTTCTATGACCAATGAGCACTGAACATAGCAAAGGTGTCTAGGACCTGGGAAAGTGGGGCTCAGCATCTCTGAAACAGCAGATTTGCCTCCTTCCTTGTGTTGGCTGAGCAGAGATGAGTCCAAGAGCCATGGTGGCCCCAGCAGAAAACAGGGCAGAGGCCTGCCCTGCCCTCTGTCCGCACTGAGAACAGCTGCCGCCCCAGGACCCAAGCTCAAGTTCCAAGTTTAAACCCACAATGGCTCAGCCATAAATATCTGGTCCCTGAGGGAGTAGGTGAGCCTGTAACCCTGACCCAGAGATCCAGGGCCTTGGCCAGGATCCTACTGGACCCCAAGCTGGGAACTACCAACTCAGGAGTTTCCTTCCTCAAGGCCCCACCCTACCTCCAGACCCCGCCCATCGTGGTCCCGCCCACCCTGGTGGCTCTGCCCTCAAACCACTGGCTCTCTGCCATGTCCCGGACTCCACCCCATCCTTTCCTCCCGCTGGCTCCCCACCCTACCACCTGCCCCCCAGGCACTCACAGGGGGGCTGCCGCTCCTGGCTGAGCACCTGGATGTCCATGGGCGAGTAGAGGGAGCTCAGGATCTCCCTCCTCTTCTCGCCTGTCCTCTTGTTACAGGCGTGGATGGAGCGCGTCTGCCAGTCCGTCCAATACAGGGTGTCCCCGGACAACGTGAGGGCAAAGGGGTGCGTCAGGCTGCCCTCCACCACCTTCTGCCTACAAGGGAGGCAGAGGGCAGGGGTGAGACCCCTGAGGCCAGCTCTGTCCGAGCACAGGCGCCCCCACACCCAGCCAGCCTCTGGCCAGGAACACAGGGTCCCCAGGCAAAGTCCCCAGAGACGAAAGGTACGAACGGCAAGGAGTCACCCTGGGGACTGAAGGCAGCCCTCCTCCCCAAGAACGCCTGGACCACGTGCTCAGCCCTACAAATATCCTGGCTGTTTTCAGAAGGAATTAAATTTGGCATCAGGGAAGGAAAATGCCAGGCAAAGGGGAAGTCGTATTTAACAAGAGTACACACACTGCTGATGGGATCTGAGTTTGACTCAAACAGTGACATGTGGTTGTCTGAGGTCCGTCCACTGCCAGGACAGGCTCTGGCCCGCTGTGTGGCCCGCTGTGAGTGTGTGTCCTCTCTGATCTAGTGTTAGTGTTTAACAAACTGATAAATATCCCAGAAAACAGTTGGCATAAGGAAGTGTTAGCCTCTACCACCACCCCGCTGCTGCCACCCCAGACGGCAGCCTTTCCAGCCTCTGCACCCTCCGTAACTGCCAGCGCTGCCTGCACCCAAGAAGCCACAATGGGACACTGTGTCAAAGCTCAGTGTGGAAAGAAGAGACCCAAGAGAACCTGAGGCCCAGGCTGGTATGGGTGCCTGAACAGGCCCTTCTAGACTCAGTTCAACCTGGGGACAACTGAAGCGTTGGCCGGGAGCTCGGCTCTAAGCTCAGAACACGTGTGGGCCAGACCTGCCTGTGGAGCCACTTCTGATGATGCTTCTCCCTGGCCCCCATGCAAAACACCTGTGAGGTCCTGGCATCTGCCATCCATAGGCCCAAGAGGCACGCAGACCGTGCTCTTACGTGGGCCCGGCTGCATTTGCGGAGCCCCTCCACATCAGCCCTCACTGCAGACCAGGAGCTACACAGCGCAGTATTCATTCAGTCAACAAGAAAACCCTTCACCTGTCCATGGAGGGCAGATCTACATCTAAAGGTAATGAAGTTAGACTTGCTGCGCACACCAGAAAGCTCTGACAGCAACTACCCTGAGATGCAAAAGATCTTTCCTGGCATGCATTCATGTAATCCATTTTACTGAGCACCTACTATGTGCTAGGCTCTCCAGCCAGACCGAGGATGCAGGGATAGTAACTAAGCCAACCCTGCTGCTGCCTCCAAGATGCTGTGGAGCATGAGTGGGGGGCTGGGGTTGGGGGATAGCACTCAGTGTCAGAAACCAATCACAGCCCCTTAACTGAAATTCTGACACCTAAATTGAAAGCTTTGTTTTGTTTTGTCCTTTTTTCTGTCAGTGGCAGAACTTGAACTTGGGGCCTAGGTACTGTCTCTGAGCTCTTTTTGCTCAAGGCTAGCACTCTACCACTTTGAGTCACAGCACCACTTCCAGTTTTTCTGGTGATTAATTGGAAATAAGAGTCTCACTGATAGGGGCTGGGAAGTTGGCTCAGTGGTAGAGCGCTTGCCTTGCATGCCTGAGGCCCTGGGTTCGATTCCTCAGCACCACATAAACAAAAAGAAAAAAAGCTGGAAGTGGCGCTGTGGCTCAAGTGGTAGAGCGCTAGCCTTGAGCTGAAGAGCTGAGGGACAGCGCCCAGGCCCAGAGTTTGACCGGACCAAAAAAAAAAGAGTCTCACTGATAGCAGGCACTGGCCCACGCCTGTCATCCTAGCTATTCAAGAGGCTGAGATCTGAGGATTAAGGTTCAAAGTCAGCCGGGGGTAGGAAAGTCTATGCGACTCTTATCTCCAATTAACCACAGAAAACTGGAAGTGGTGCTGTAGCTCACAGTGGAAAAGCGCTAGCCTCAAGCAAAAAGAGCTCAGGGACAGTGCCCAGATCCCAAGTTCATGCCCCACAATGGACAAAAAAAAAAAAAAAAGTTTCAGACTTTCCTACCCAGTCTGGCTTTGAACCATGATCCTCAGATCTAAGCCTCCTGAGTAGCTAGAACTACAAGCATGAGCCACCAGTGCCCAGCTGGACGTTTTTGTTGCTCTTTTGGCAGCAAAACCAGTGCATAGATGTCAGCTATGTAGTCCTTCCCGGCTGGCTTAGGGTAAATTTCTGCATCTGCTGTGGAAACAGTCACACAGCAGATGGAGGAGGCCACCCCTCCCGCCCCACTTGGGGGGGGACTTCAGAGTGCCACCGCTACTGTCTTGCTGCTCTGAAGTTCTCCAAAGTGCCAGACAAATCCCTCAGATCCCCAGGGTTTCAGCCTAGAGGCCTGAGGTAAGAACTGCCTTCAAATGCTCTGAGGGCTGCAGGGCACCAGGGGGAGGGGTGCCACGGGGAAGGGCACCCCAGGCGGGTGGGGACTTACCGGAAAGAGCCATCCAGGTTGGCACGGTGGATGAAGCTGAGCTTGGCATCGGCCCAGTACAGCTTCTGCTCCTCCAGGTCGATGGTCAGCCCATTGGGCCAGTAAATGTCTGAGTCCACGATGATCTTCCGGGCACTGCCATCCATCCCCGCCCGCTCGATGCGGGGCGTCTCCCCCCAGTCTGTCCAGTACATGTACCTAACGGGGGAGGGAAGGGGAGGGGAAGCGGGCAGGCGGGGAGGAAGTTACCACGTTGGTGTTTGGTTCCGATCTCTGACATGGATTCTGAACGCTCACCCAACCAAATGTCTTGTTATTTCTTTTGGAACATGGAACATGGTCTCAGTACAGATCCCAGGCTGGCCTTGAACTGGCTCTGTACTCCCCGCTGCCCTTAAACGCTCAAGCCCTTGGCTTCCAGAGTTCTGGGATGGACTACTTCCAGCGAGCGATGACCAACGTTGGGTTTCAGGAGTAGTTAGGGATCAAAACAGAGTCATGTGTTGCTTAAGACAGAAATACAATGTGAGTGAGTGAGTGTGTGTGTGTGTGTGTCCTAGGCACTGTCCCTTAGCTTTTTTGCTCAAGGCTGGCACTCTACCACTTGAGCCACAGCTCCACTTCTGGCTCTTTAGTCATTAATTGGAGGTAAGAGTCTCACAGACTTTCCTGCTCCCAGGCTGGCTTCAAACCATGACCCTCAGATCTCAGCCTTCTGAACAGCTATTATAGGCTTGAGCCACAAGCCCCTGATTTTAAGATTTTTTTTTCTTTTTTAAGGATGACGAGAAATGGGTCACTAGGTGCTATGACGGACTTGACTGTGGTGGGCACGAGGGGGTGGTGACAGCACTGGGCCACAGTCCTCACACACACCACGGGCCCGTCGGTCATCCCGCAGCGCGGAGCGGAGAGCAAGCGGGAGGCCCTCAGTCCCCCTTCTCTCCCAGCTCTTCTCCGGTGCCCCATGAAATCTATGACTTAAATAGTTCCGCTTGGTGTTGGATTCTATTTCTTATAGCTTTGCTACTCGGAAGATGCTGTGAAGGAACAGAAGGCAATCTGAAGCATGCGGGATGGAATGTGTTTAGTGCCGAAACGAACACTAACAAATGTCCAGCTCCAGAGAGGGACAAGGGTAACAGGGGCTGCCTGTGGGACCAGGGGCACCTGGGAACCTCAGGACCTTCTGCATTTTCCCTATTACCTGAAAACAACTCTTAAACAGGTCTGTGCCCGCGGCTCACACACACCTTCATCCCAAGCTGTACGCGGGAGGACCAGGTACCAGCCCAGTATGGGCAGGAAAGACCAAGACTGCCTCCGGGGACAAAAGCTGGACAGTGGCATGGCATACCTGTCATCTCATCAACGCAAGGAGGCCTAAAGTAGCTTAGGTGTGCACCAGGCAGGTAGTGACACCCTATTCTAAATAACTGGCAAAAAACAGGGCGGGAGGCGGGAGTCAGCAGTGCAGCACCAGCAAGGTCCCCAGTATGCCTCTCCCCCACCCACCCACCCACCCACACACACACACAAAGAAATGACAAGCGCTGCTCCCAGGCAGGTCTGTGGGTTTGAAGCTCGTGGATGTATATTCTCCAGCAGGGGGCTGGCATCCCATGTCTGTGGAAAGCCTCCACAGCCTTCGGGGTCCCTCGCTTGGTCCCCCTCCAGGGAGTGGACACGGCAGGCCTGATGCCTGCATCTAGGTTCCCAACCTGGCTGGCACTCTGGGTTACCACAGGAGACGCCCCCAGCCTGGGAGACACAAGGTCCCCTCCAGGAATGGAGGTACCAAAGACAGCAGGGGAGGGCAGTGCCAATCACCCTGAGAGCCCACCTCCCACTCTGGCTCCTGGGAAGAGGGCACAGTGCTCATTCGCCAGCAGTTCCGAAGGCTGAGCCTCCCTGAGCCTCTGGCCGCTCTCCAGAGCCCAGCGAGCTTCCCTTCCTTGGCCTCCAACTCCTCACAGGTAAAACTTCATTTGCTGCACCAACCTTGAGCTGGCACCAGCGACCACCTTGATCACCAGGGACCTTGTGACCAGGCTCAGCTGTGCCCCTTGGGGTCGCTCAGAGACACAGCGCCAAGGAAGCTCTGTGCCACAGGAGACCCCCAACACCGGGCTTCCCAGCCAGGGGTTCCCGAGTCAGGACCCGCACCCCTTCCACAGGAGCAGGCACGAGGGTGGTGGAACCAGGGCACAGGGGCCTCGTACACGACCCCTGCCCTGTCCTCCCGCGTGGGGCCAGGGCCGCTCATGCTGCCTGCCTCGAGCCCCAGCAAGCAAAGCCCACACCTCTCGCTGACTCTTGGAAGTGTCTCTTGTGGCATCTTCTTTGTTTGAGGTAAACAATGCCACACAGAGGTCTGGGACAGAAGCTATTCCTCCCGGCTTTCCCAGCCCCGGGGCCTGGAGAGTGCCCAGGGCCGGCCAGCCTCTGAGGAGATATCAGGCTGCAAGGCTGGTGCTAAGGCGGGAGCAGCGTGGGCCCAGGGCCTCCTCATGGAAAATGTGCTCGTGGGGAGCACACTCTTCAACCCTGCTGCAGGGCAGGGCCGGCCAGCTGGGTAAAATGAGGAAAATCCACTCCTGGCCTCACAAAGGCACTGTGAGCAACCGTGCCAATTCAGAGTGGGGCCAGCAGCACCAAAAGGAGGGGCGGGGTCCACACAGATGGGAGGTAGTTGGAGAGCAGCAGCCCCCAGCTGGCTGGTACAGGCAGCCAGGCTGGGCTGCGACCCTCCGGACCCCAGATGCCAGGGAGCCAGTTATCCTGAGCCTGCAGTGCCTCTCGTGCACATGCAAATACACACACACACACACACACACACACTCTCTCTCTCTCTCTCTCTCTCTCTCTCTGCCTGCACACCTGCATGGCCAACTGAGCTGCCCACACTTGACTCTGCTCTGTGTGTACACCACCCAGGAAGGCAGAGGGAGGTCAGGACCTCCACAGGTTCCTAGTGTGAAAGCCACATTTACTGAGACTACAAACTGTCTGTGGTGTTTCCCAGCTGATCTATGACACGCCTACCCCTCTGTACAGACGGCGACACTGAGGCCCACCTGTAGAGCACACGCTAATGCAGTTGTTCCTTCCTTCAACACTGATCCCTGGCCTCGTGCTGGTGGCGACGCCCACAAGCCTAACACTACTCAAGAGGCTGAGATCTGAGGATCAGAGTTCACATCCAAGACTCTTATCTCCAGCTCACTAGCTAAAAGCCAGAAGTAGAACTGTGGCTCAAGTGGTAGAACATTAGCCTTGAGTAAAAATGCTCAGGAACAGTGCCCGTGCCCTGAGTTCAAGTCCGGGTCTGGCACACGCACCGCGCACGTGCACACGCACACACACACACACACACACACACACCAGATCCCAAGTCTGGCCTCCTTCGGTTGCAAGATTGCAGTAATAATTGCGGGTACAGATCCACACCTACCCTAAAACCTACACCCACTCTAGCAAGAGCAGAGTCCAGCCTGAGTCACACCAGGTGACTCCACTGGAGATCTGACCTCCCCACCCCACGTCCTAACTCCTGATCCCCACTTCACTCAGGTCCAGACTTTGACCCCAGGGCCTTTGCACTGGCATCTCCCTTTGTCCAGAATGCTCTTCTCCTGACAGCTACACAATTATATCCTTATCTGCTTCAGATCTCTGCTCAAAAGTCACCAAGAGGCATCCCAGGGGCCAATGCTCTGACTCAAAGCACCTGGTCCCCGGCCCCATCCCTGCCCTGTTTGTTCTCCTGGTGGCACCTGTCCCACTTCGATATCCCCCTCTCCCCACCTGAGCACCATGAGGGCACGGAGCGCAGACAGAAGAGGAGCTGAATATTTGCTGAACACCAGCAGGGAGAGGGGAGAGCTGCCGCGTCCAGGTGGGAAGAGGCGGAAACAGGGTAGACAGAGACCTAAGAGCGGCCTGGAAGCCAGCCCCGGGCCAGGCTCCGCCCCTCAGCCTCTCCTGTCAAGGAGGCTGTCTGATCAGCTGCCACTTCCAGAAAGCGGTGTGGGTGCACAGGTGGGGGGGACAGGGAGGGAGGGCGCTTCTCTGGGGCGGGAGGTCCAGGGAAGCCATTCTGGCAGGGCAGCCGGAGCCGTGGGCAGCAGTGTGTGGCCAGCTGTGATGGCTGCTCAGTGGGAGGACCCACGGGGAGCTGGCTCAGGGGTGTTCCTCATGGGAGGGAGGGGACACTAGAATGCTCAGGCCTGACCTGAGAGTCAGAGCACGGATACACATACACACCTCCCTTACGCTCAGTCGTAAGATATATGCTCACCCACAACACAGTACCACAAGCACACACGCATACCTGCATGCCCACTCGGGCTGTGCACTCGTGTGTGCTTTTTCATGCGACACACTCATGAACACACATCGACACGTTTGTATGCACAACATGCTACGCACAGACGCCACACTCCCACCCACCAATGCACAGAGCAGGCAGCCCGGAGGCGCCCCCGCCCCCACGCGGCCCCATGCGCCTCCTGCTGACACCCCCCACCGACCCCGCGCGTGCCAGGCACACAGGTGGGCTCAGCTTCCACAGCACCCCTTCATCTGGCTCTTCCAACCCTCAGATTTGAACAATAGCGGACGGCCCTCTACCCAACATCCCAAGCAGGCCCAAGGCATTTGAACGAATCAGGTTCACCAGCAGCTTGCTCTAGGCCGGTGGCCGCCCTCAGGCAGGGAGGACACTCCCAGGGGGAATGGCCAAGCGGGTGATAGCAATGCTAGATGGGGACACTGAGGTGCAAAGCAGAGCTCAGAACTATGGCAGCAGAGGGCAGCCGCTGTCTGGAGTCCGGGGAGCCCCAGCGGCCCAGCTTCACCAAGGATGGTGGCACACGGGAGGACGGTCTATCCAGGCTGTCCCTGCCGCTTCAGCTCAGAACGCCTGCTGGGGCCATGTTGCCCAGGTCGGGCTCAAGCCACAGCTTCTCAGAGCCTTTAGTGACCCTGACCAGCTAATCTACAAAGTGCTGCCAACATGGCTGAAAGCAAAAGAATTAAAGAAAAAGAGCCGTGTGCCAGTGGCTCACCCTGCAATCCTAACTATTCAGAGGCTAAGATCTGAGGATTGTGGTCCAAAGCCAGCCTGGGCAGCAAAGCCCTGAGTATCTTCCAATTAATCACCAAATAGCCAGGCGTGTAGCTGTGGCTCAAGTGGTAGAGCACCAGCCTTGAGCAAAAAAAAAAAAAAAGGTCAGGGACAGGGTCCAGGCCTGGAGTTTAAGCCCCAGGACAGGCACAAAAATCATAATAATTAGGAAGCAGGACCGTGGGAAAGGATGGCGGGTTTACCCGTGAGCGGGGTCCAGGGCGATGGCCCGCGGCTGGTCCAGGTCCTGCCAGAAGAGCACCTTGCGGGACGTGCCGTTGAGGTTGGACACCTCGATGCGGTTGGTCTCCGAGTCTGTCCAGTACAGCTTCTTGCCCACCCAGTCGCAGGCCAGGCCGTCGGGCGACACCAGGCCGGAGATGACCACAGTGTGGGCGGCCACCCCAGTCTGGTTCAGGTAGGCCTGCTTGATGGCCTCCTCGCTCACGTCTGTCCAGTACACGGCTCCCGTAGAGAACAAGAAGTCCACGGCAGCCGCGTCCTCCAGCCCGCTCACCACCACGGTGGACTCCGGCTTCACTCCGCCCGCGTCCACCAGCCGCACGTCCCGGCGGTTGGCAAACAGCAGGAGTGGAGAGGCTGTGGACACAAGCACACTGTGAGGACGGCAGGACAGAGGGGGCGCCTGGCACCTGCCCACCCCATGCCCCGGGGCCGGGACTAGCCTCTGATTGGACCCACATGGCTGGTCTCTCCCCCCAAGAACGGTGACATCCTGTGTGTTAGGTCTTGCCCTACACATCACTCTGCAGAGAAATCTGATGCAGAGGAGACCAGAGGAAGACACAGTCCTGGCCCTGCTGCCCAGCAAAGGCCTAGCCAAGGGGCCAAGCTGAGAGGTGGCTCAGAAACCTGCAGGGCGGGAGGTGTGGCTGGGCTGCATTGAGCCTCCGCCCAGTGGCTCTGTGGCGGCTGTGCCAATGCAGGTCCCATCCCAGAGCTACGGCCGGCGCCTCCCCGCTGTGAGTTCCATGTCTTCCCCACAACGATCGAAGACGTCCCCACCAAAAAAAAGAAAAAAAGGTTTAAAGCCAGCACTGGTGGCTCACACCTGTCATCCTAGCTACACAGAAGGCTGAGATCTGAGGATCATGGTTCAAAGTCAGCCTGGGCAAGAAAGTCCATGAGAATCTTTTTCTTTTTGTTTGGTCAGTCATGGGGCTAGAACTCAGGGTCTGAGTGCTGTCCCTCAGCTCTTCAGCTCAAGGCAAGTGCTCTACTATTTGAGCCACAGTGCCACTTCTGGTTTTCTGCTGATCTATTGGAGATAAAATGTTTCACAGCCACCGGGTGCTGGTGGTTCATGCGTGTAATACTAGCTATTCAGGAGGCTGAGATCTGAGGATCGAGGTTCAAAGCCAGCCCAGGCAGGAAAGTCTGTGAGACTCTTATCTCCAATAAACCACTCAAAAACCGGAAGTAGCATTGTGGCTCAAGCAGTGGAGCACTCGCCTTGAGCTGAAGAGCCCAGGGACAGTGCCCAGGCCCAGAGTTCAAGCCCCACGACTGACAAAAAAAAAAAAATGTTTCACAGCCTTTCCTGCCCAGGCTGGCTTTGAACGGCAATCCTCAGATCTCAGCCTCCTGAATAGCTAGGATGACAGGCTTGAGCCACCAGCACTGGGCCATTGGAATCTTATCTCCAAGTAACACCACCAAAAAGCCAGAAGTGGAGCTATGGCTCAAGTGAGAGCATTACCCTTGAGAGAAAGGTCAGGGACAATGTCTAGGCCAACTTCAAGCCCCAGGACTGACACTAGATAGATAGATAGATTGATCAGCTTAGAGGCCTCTCAGAAGCCACCCCCAAACACCGTTGAGCGCTCCCTGGACCAGTGCCATGGAATGAGATCAAGCTCCCGCCTGGCCTCCACAGCCTCCAGCCTCTGGCCTCCCAGCCACCCTGGCACCATGCATCTGGGTCTCCCAGACATCAGGCTATCTCCCAGGCTTCATACCATCAGACCAGTGAGGTCTCTCTCTCTTATACTGGTCTGGAGGAGAACGGGGGGCGGGGCGGGGGAGATCAGACATCATCACAGGCAGCCCGTGAGGGTCCGGGGGCTGCACTAGTAGGTAGTCAGCAGCGCTAGGCTGGGCTGGCCACAAACTCTCCACAAATAATCAGCACTTGGCTAGGGTCAGCTGACTTTCCTCCTGGGAGTTGCAGACCACTGGGGTCCCCACACCGATGGGGACCACCAGCCAACCACAACACCCACACTACCAAGAGATTCCTTCAGACATAGAGATCAAAACAAATTGCACTTGAGCAGAGAAAGCCCTAGAACTAAATCCTGTGCCGACCTCCATGGGCCCCTTAGCAGGAAGAGCCTGCCTGGGCCGCTGCCCAGGGGCGCCCAGGACTGCCACATGTGGGCAGCAGCAGAGCCGGCTCCATCTGGGCCCCTCCTATTTTCGGAGGACTGCTCTGAAGGATGGGGAGACGCAGGGGGGCCTGAGATCAAGACCACTAGAAGCAGGAGCACCAAAACTTCTTCTCCAACATCATCACAAAATAACCTGAGCAGAATGGGGCTGAGAGAGGCTTGAATGGTAGAGTACCTGCCTCATAAGTGTAAGGCCCTGAGTTCAAATCTAGTACCACCAAATCAAAACCACCTCTATACAAAATGGACAAAAGACTTGAACAGGCATTTCTTCAAAGAATATGCACAAGGCCAAGCACTGGTGGCTCACACCTATAATCCCAGCTACTCAGGAGGCTGAGCTGAGGACTGAAGTTCTAAGCCTACCCAAGCAGGAAAGTCCATAAGACTCTTACCTCCAATTGACCAGCAAAAAGCCAGAAGTAGAATTGTGGTTCAGGAAGAGTGCTAGCCTTGAGTGAAAAGGCTCAGGGATAATGCCCAGGCCTGAGTTCAAGTCCCAAGACTGTCCCCCATACACGCACACATGCATGCACGCACACATGCAAGCACAGCGATGCACAAATGGCTGACACATACATAAAAGATGCCTAGTCTCTCCAACCACTAGGAAAATGCAAACCAAAATCACAGTGAAAAGCCACTTTGCACACACTAATTAGGATGCTGCTACTAAAAGAAAAAGCAAGCAAGAAATGGCCCAGGCACAGAGGTTTGCACCTGTGAGCCACACTGGTGTAGAGGACTGAGGTTCAAAGCCAGCCTATGCAAGAAGTTTGTGCAATACCAGCTCAACAAAAAAAAAATTCTGTGTGTGGTGATATACACCTGTAATCTCAGCTGTTCAGGATGTCCAAATAGGAGGCTCACAGTCCAGGTTGGCCCTGGCTTAAAGGTGATACTCCAGTCAAAACAGAATGGGAAGGAGGCGTGGCTCAAAAGATGGAGAGTCACTTAGCATGCACAAGATCCTGAGTTCAAGCCCCAGTACTGTCCAAAAGTGGGGGGGAAAATCCCTTTCCTCTCCCCACCGTGTTCAGAGGATGGTCCTCCATGTGCAGGAAACGCAGAAGCCTCTGCGCATGGAGGCAGCTGCTCAGAGTGCTCCCGCCCATAGAAGCCCCAATCTCAAGACACCGAGCTCGCTCTGCCCTGGGGAGGAGACCCGGCTTCCAGGGAGGATGGGCTGGCCAGAGGATGGGAGGCCTCACCCTTAGGAGGCAGTGGAAGAGCGGGAAGGTGCCCAGGACCAGGGAATCCGTGAAGGCTGGAAGGATGGGGTGGGGGGCACCAGCAGGCTGAGGTCCCCCCACGGCACACCTGGGCAATGTGTGCTCCCATTCATCCGCAGCCACCTGGCCACCTGGCGCAGGACCACCAAAACCCTACTTCCTGTACGCGCGGGAAAGCTGGGTGTGCCCAGCTCCCCAGTGCCAGGTCTTAGGTTTGTTGTCACACGTCCAACCAGGGTGTGATGTGCTGGGGCTTGCTGAAATTCCATGCTGTGGTGCTAACCTGGGAGTCCCCAGTCACGTGCACACACTACACACACACACACACACATACTACACATACACACATACCACTCTCTCTCTCTCTCTCTCTCTCTCTCTCTCTCTCTGTGCTATCCTCAGGCCCCGTGGAGCCCTCTACCAGGTGGGCCCCGCCCGAGGAGCCCTTGTAAAAGCAGGCAGGGAAAAGCCCGACTTGGGATGTGGCTTTCCTCTCAGCTCCTCTGCCAAGAAAGCACTGTGGGAGGATGGACTGCGGCTGAAGGAGCCAGGCTAGGAACGCAGCAGAAGCTTCCCTAAAGCCCGGTGCCAGGGCAGGAGGGGGGCCTGGGCCCAGCCCAGGGAGAGGGGTGGGGCGGCTGCAAGCCACCCAGGCACACAGGACCCAGCTCTGCTGGCTGTCTCTCCACCAACTGGAAAGACCACATTTCCCCAGTTTAGACTTGGGGCAGTTCAGGTGTACGCTGCTTCAAAGGCGGAAAAGGTGGGGGTGTTGTAATTTCTTGGGTCTTTCCCCTGCCAAATCTGTGGGAGCCTGAAAGCCAGCCTCCTAGGAGAGAGGGCCAGCCAGGGTAGCATGGCCAGGGCAGGCAGGCTCTGCCCAGGATAGGCTCCTGCTTCTCAGACCAACTTGAGAAAACCACACACTTCATTTCAAAGTCTGAAGAAGGACCCACATGGTGTTCTTGTCTCCTGGGCAACTGACTACCCTGGGTCTCGTGTGGGTGGCACACTGCCCAGGCCCAGCTGACAGCACAGACCCTCCACCTTCTCCCAGGGAGCCCAGGCTGAGGCTGGCAATGACATGTGAGATGGGTGGCCTCTGGTCCCGTCCACCAATCAAGACCTGGCTGGTGTGAGCGATTACATGGGAGAGGCGTGGCCAGATCCCAAGTTGAACACACCTTCCTGTGCCCAAGGTGGAATCCATACCAGAGGGAAAGTGCAGAGGAGAAAGCAGATACTAAGAGAAAACCACAGGTGGCTAAGGGACAGGACACCTCCCACCGTCGTTCCCCAGCACCCAGCACCTGCTGGAGTGGGTATTTCACATGGAAATAGATTGGAAGCAAGAAACGTAATGAATGGGGAATTTTGGTGGCATTAGACATCAGTGCTGGGAATGGGGCAGATGGGAGGGGAGGGGAGAGTAAGAGAGAAGCTGCATTCTAAGCGAGGGAGGCGGAGACTGGTGCAAAGGTCCTGAGGTGGAAGTGCAAGAGGGTAGAGCATGTGGCTGGCAAACACGGCAGTTGCTGGTCCCAGGGCTCCTTTCCTGCCAGGCCTCGCAGAGCCTGCTTCCTTCCCTGCCCTCTCTCTGTGGAGCCCCCTGTGGGTCGGGTCCCCTCCCACCAGAGACACTGCAGCCTTTGGCAATAGACCTCAGGATCAGGCTGGTGGCTTGAACTCCAGGAAGTGATGAGAAGAAACCCCAGGGAAATTCCAGAAAGAAAAGAAGGTTAGGCAGGAGGCTTGGAAGGGGATTGGGGGCCTTGAGGTTGCACCTTGGTGTCTCCAGACTGAAGAGAGCAACAGGCTGGATGCAGGACGGGCGGGCCTGGCCATCTAAATACCCAGACCCACCAAAATCACCAGGAAAAACACAGGTGACCAAGGACAGAGGTCAGGACAGATCACCAGACAACACTGCAGAGCTAAGCTAAGGGACCTAACACCCT